AATGCACTTTGGACTTCCTCCCTGAGTATCATTGGCTCTTGTTCATATGGTACCTCTTGAAATGGTTGAACATTAATCATTTCCTTTTGATACAATGATGATATAGGTAGTAGGTTTGAACTGCCAACCTTGCTGTTATCAGCTCAATACCCAACCCACAACACCATATAACTCCTCAGTAAATATTAAAACCCTTCTGTACCTCCCCATACTCCAAGAACAAGAAATAAGTATGGTAGCTATGGTTTCCAAACATAACTAACCTATTGGTTGTTATGAAGATTAAATTTCTCCACTATACATTGGTTGTTTTTGTGATCTATGCAGATTATCTCCTCCTTCCACTTTTTTGTTAATGCTTAAATATATTTTTAAATCCAAACAAATATATTGAACATTATTGTATGTTCAAGGTCTATGCCAGGCAATTAAAAACTATAATCTCTTTGATTCCTACAGAAGGTCATGTGAGGTAGACATTATTACCTTAGCTTAAAAGCTAGGGAAACTGAGGCTATGAGAAGTTATAAACCTTTCCTGTTTTTATTGAAAAGAAAAAATAGAATTACACTTCAGAAAATTCAGGATGATTAAAAAACCCAAATATAGTTGAGAATGTAAAAGTACCAGAAGAACGTAAAGAGAAATATCTTTATGACCTTGGGCTAATTACAGTTGTAAAACATGACATAAAAAGTAAAAACCATAGAGAAAATGATTGATATATTTTATTTGAAAATTGAAACAAACTTTCCTCTGAATAAATATTATGAATTACATTAAGAATCAGAAAAAAATTTGTACTATGCATAACAAAAGATTGATACAATGTATGAAGAATTTCCTTTGAAACAAACAAGCAAACAAAAAAGTAAAACTAAAACCTGAATCAAACTGGTTGATGTCTAATTGATTCTAACTAGGAACAGTATTACAGGGTAGAACTCGGCTCCGTAGTGTCTTCATGGTTGTCATATTCCAAAGAGCATTGCTAGGTCTTTCTTCCATGACACTGCTAGGTGATTTCAACATCATACCTTTTAGGTTAGTAGTTGAACACAAAATGTTTGTTCTACCCAGGGGCAACTAACCAGGTTCAAAGTGTATAAAGAATAGGAATTGATGGCTAATAAAAAGAGGAAGATGTTACTGAAGGAGAAGGTAGTCATTTAGTAATCAGGTTCTGGCTTAGTTAGGTATTCTATCCTAAATTTGAGCTGTTGGCCTCTTAATTAAAGTAAATGGCAGTCTTCAATTTCCTGTTTTGTCAATATGTCATTGTTTCATGTTCGACTTTAATAACAGATTACAGCAAATATTTTCTGCTTTGTTTTTTGTTTGACGTAAGCTAGTGTGTATTTCTTTCAACTAATTACTGTAGATTGTTGTTGTTGTTAAGTGCTGTGGAGTTGGTGCCGACTCACTATAAGGGTTTCTGAGATTGTAAGTCTTAGAGAGAGCAGAAAGCCTCATCTTTCTCCTGTGGAGCTGGGGGTTCAAACCTCAGACCTTGTATGTTAGCAGTCCATTGCTTATCCTATAGAGCCACCATGCTTCCAATTAATGTAGGGTAGGATATTGGATATAGAGTGCTATGTTGACTTTGAAAAATAGGTTTGCCTGTCTTTTATGTGCAGTTAAAAGTCTGACCCCCTCAGTAAGATGTTATCATAGTATTTTTCTGGATTACTTTCCTATGGAATTAAAAACGAACACAACAACAAAACCCAACTATACTCCAAATAGGACACTTCAGAAGACTTTCCTGGCCTCCCTTTGAAGTGTGCTATTGTGACCCCAGTGAAAACTTCTTTGTAGCATCCTTTCGATGGTAGTGTGTTGAGTGTGTTACACAAAAATGAATAGTGCAGTTAGCAAGGAGGGAACTAGGTAGGACTTAGGAGACAGTTGTTTGTAGTGTTTTGTTAGGTTCTTAGGGACTTTTTGGAGACTGTATTTAACAACTGTTGATGACATTGATTTATTTTAAAAATTGGTAATGAAATCTTCGTGGTATTTCTGAACTTTTCCGTTTCATTCAGGCTTCACTATGCCAGGAGATAGGTAAGAGAAACAGTTACCTCTTTTTTTTTTTTTTTTGCTGAAGTTCAAACTTAGCTTGGTAATCAAGAAGGAACTGTTTATAGTAAATTCCTTTCTGTAGTACATAATATATGGAGACATTTCAGTGTACTTTTCCAAAAGGAGGAATTATTGCCATTGTACTATGCTGAGATCTTAATCCAGCTTGTGATTTTGGGATGGTTCCTTGGTGTAGTGTTCTATATCATTAGCTTTGAAAGATTATGCCCAGGAACTTCCCAGAAATGAAGAACAAGGACATGTTATATTTTTATAATAAATATAATAATATTTATTCATAATGCTTAAGCAATGGTAATAACTGTGGAATGACTTAGAAATCATAGGCATTTTTTAGGCACCCCATATATCAAGATAAAACTGTTGCATGCTTATCAGGTCAATCGCTGTACCTTATCTTAAACATTTTCCGCCAAGATTATTCAGGGACTTCCTTGATTCTTTTTGCTCTGATTGTTGCACTAAATTCCTTAAATATTACATGCTCACTGCTGTTATGTAAGTCCATGCTGTTTCATTCCAGAACTGACATCAAGCTCCTTACCTCATCCTTCTGCCTTAGCTGCCCTTAGCTGCCCTTAGCTGCACTTTCATCTGGATCATGAAATGTTGCAGCATTAAAACTGTTTTGCTTGCTTGTTGGAAAAAAGCTCCTTGATCAAACTGACCAAAATTCACATGATGCTGTTGGGCAATCACAAGTCTATTGCTGTAGATCATGATAATTTGAAGGAGTACCCTCTCACTCCCACATTGATGTATCACATGTATCTGCACAATTTCCAGTTATGAAAGACTCCCTTGGGCCTGGCTCTGGGGCAGGCCTGCTGCTGAATGGGCAATTACTCTGGATGGCTGGAATGGAGTGTTTCTGAAGGACAGTGTAGAGGAGTTAGAACTAGATACTGAGTTTGTTTGACCCAAGAGACAAGTGTTGGGGTGAAACTAGGTTAGAGCTATGGGAGTGGGACAAGAAGCCTGTGCTGCTGACAGGGCTGCCATGCCAGGGCTGTTGCTGCTTTGTTTCCCCCCCGCCCCTGAGTACTTCCTATTGCCTAATCTAAGCAACACCCAAAATATAGCAGCAAAGTGGATACTCCTAACTCGTCAAAATGGCTATGTATACTTGCAAGTGTATATGTCATATATGCAGAGGGTCTGAAGGCTACCTTGAAGCATATACTTGTATTTGCAGAAGGTTGAAATCTATCAGTCTAAGTTACATGGTTTTCATGGTCTCATTGTTCAACTACCAGTTTTAATAAAATGTCAGTATTTAAGGGTTTCACTTTGATGATTTTATGTTGTTCAATAGTCAGAAGTTGATATTCTGAAAAATTTTCTTTTGGAGGAAGCTCTTTGAAACTCTTTTGTTTCATTTCCAATTCTAAATAGTCTAGTGATTTTTAAATTTTAAGTAGTAAGATCCTGGAACTTGACATAGCCATCACCTCTTTGATGGGCTCCTTTAGCAGATTCTTTGTTCACTTGTTCTTTTGTCATTGATTTCACTGAGTATCTACTGTGTCATAGATATTCCGAAAGAGATTAAATATATTAAATATAAATCTCCTTTAAGAAGAAATTTGTTGGATTTTAATCTTGCTTTAATATATCTACATTTTTTTGTGGGGGTGGTAAATTTTTATTATGAACTGAGTGATAATTTACATGAAAGAACATCAGCTTTATACCATCCTTTCATTGCTATGATTACAGTCTCCTCCATGGATCATCATTCAGCAGTATTTGCTTCCATTCCGTATTATTTTTGGTTTGATTATATGTGACCATTTTCTTTATAATACAATATCTAAACTAAGTTGTATTTCTTAATTTAAAGTAAAAACAAACAAGGATATTCTAAAATGGAGTTTACCATGCTCCCATGAGTTCTAAATCAATTTGTTATTTTTTCAACCAAAAAACAAGCTTTTATGAAACTGCTAGTAATTATAACTTCACTCAATATTAAATATACCAACTTTTCAAATACCATAAATAGCTTAAATTATTTAAAATTATTTTATCCTTATAAGATTTTTAAATACAGACCTTGGTTAATTCTGAAGACTTTTAAACTGAGTTTATAATCTTTTGAACTATGACTCCATAAAGTCAACTAATTTTTTTTTTTTTTTTAATTATAATTGCCTAAAGGAGCTCTGGTAGCATAGTGGTTACGAATCGGGCTGCAAACCGCAAGGTCAGCAGTTTGAAACTACCAGCTGTTCCACGGGAGAAAGATGAGGCTTTCTGCTCCTGTAAAGATTTACGGCCTCGGAAACCCTGTACAGGGTCTCTGTGAGTCGGACCCGACTCCACGGCACATAACAACAACAACAATAGGCTGATAGTTTATAACTTGGCAGTTAAACAAACATCAGTCAGTGTTTCAACTGCATTTGAAATCACTGTTTTAAACTTGAGCTTTTTAACAGTAATATATAAGAGTCTGTGTATCTGTAAAATGACTATTTCCCCATATCGCTTTTTAACACTATAAGAGTTGCTTAATGCAATCATCCCCTGTCTTTTTATCAACAATTCTTACTTGTTATTTTGATGGTGTGTTTATTTGCCTAGTGTACACGTTGTCTCAGCTGCTCCTCTCAATTTTTGGTTTGCTGGGACAGAATTTATCTATTGGATAAATTCCAGTTATTCTGGAATATTTTTTATATGGAGTTTATTAATTTATGAATTTAATTCCTTACCAGTTTACATACCAAAGCATTATGATATTAGGGTCACTTCTACCTGTATTAAATAGCCGAGCTTAGGGAACTTCTAAGAGTTAGTGAGGAAGTGATAGGATTAGGCCATAAGCAAACCCAGTAGGATGAGATTTTGTTAAATTGTGAGTGGTAGAGGCATGACCGGGGCACTTGAGGGGTCTTGTAGTACTACCCATTGAAGAAGAGAGTGTGTAACTAAATGGAAGAAGGATAGAATTTAGTAGAAAGGGAAGGGCAAAAAAGGATTGTGGAGAAGGATGAAAAGAAAAGGACATAATTTGTTTAAGTAAATGAGAGAGAATCAGCAATGTAAACAAAACTTTAGTAGTCTCTAAAAAAAAATTACTTCTACATGAGGTACAATTCCCACCTTCTCACCTATTTTGTTCCTTTTTTCTTCTTCTTCTTCTTCTCCAGCCTTTTAAAAAATATATAAACTAATTTCCTGTTTTCTGGGCTTTCATCTGCAGCTCTTAGTGTGCCAGGCCCTCCCACAATAGGGTATTGTCCCACCAGCCATGAATGCGCTCAGCCTTTCTGGCTGCTCTGCCTGCCTCTCACCATGAAAAGACAGAGGACCTTTCTTTGGGGTGTGCTTTCAAATGTGCTGAGCTGGCCTGTCTTGGCTCTCCTAATACTTATCAATGTTTTTCTCTTCTTGACTTAAGAATACACAAATGTTTGATCATCTCTTGTAAATGTTCTTTTATTGCTGACAGAGAAAGAGATGACTTAATGTCTGCACTAGTTTCCATAAGGAGCAGCTTGACAGATGTGCAGCAAAGAGAAGCACATGCTTATGAGCAGGTGAAGCAAGCTGTGCAAATGACTGAAGAAGCCAATTTTGAAAAAACCAAGGCAAGTTAAAGATTAAAATAAAGGCATGGTTAATGCCTTTTTTCTTTCTTTCTTTCTTTCTTTCTTTCTTTCTTTCTTTCTTTCTTTCTTTCCTTCCTTCCTTCCTTCCTTCCTTTTCCTGAGTAATTCTTTCGCTGTTCTTCCAGAACTAAACCCTCTTTCCAAACACTCATGGTGAATGGTGGTAGTGGTGGTTATGTGCTGTGGAGTCGGTTCCGGCTCATAGCAACCCTGTGTATCACATTTTTGGGGCTGTAAATCTTTATGCAAGCAGAAAACCTCATCTTTCTCCTGTGGAGCAGCTGATAGATTCGAACTGCTGATCTTGCTGTTAGCAGCCCAATTTATAACTTACTATGCTGCCAGAGCTCCTTCATGTAGTAAATATTAGACTGTTAATACTGACTTTTTTCAATTAAACCCATTTACTATTTGAAGAATTCTTTTTCTTCAGAAAATGTATTATGTCACTGTTCACCAAATATATGAGGATGAGTCAAAAAATTATCTGCATTCTGATTATATTACAATGCCCATCCACATCCGATGACAACATTGAGCATGCATGTGAAATGATTCTGTCAAATAGATGAGTGACAGTGAATTATGTGGCAAATCATTTGTAAATCAGCCATGGTTGTACCTATGAAATACTTCACGATAGAATTGGGTTTTGAAAAGTTTGTGTGAGATGGGTACCAAAACAACTCATGGAAAAGCATAAACAGAAGTGCTTGGACATCTGCAAACAAAATTTGAACTGATACTTGAAGTAAAGTAAAAGTTTCTTTTAAAAAAATTGTTAGTGGTAACGAGGCATGGCTTCATCACTATGATGAGCCTGAGAGTAAATGACAGAGTATGGAATGGAAACATCCTAAATCACCTACCATGAAAAAGTATAAAAGTCAACTATCAGCTGGAAAAGTGATGCTTACAGTTTTCTGGGATTCTCAGGGGCCTGTACTGGAAAACTATTAGGGAAAATGTTTAGCAATCAACAGTGCTCATTACAGTGAGATGCTCTCTGAAGAGCTGAAGCCTAAACTTTTGATTAAATGCAAAGGACTGCTAACCAAGGGCATTGTGATTTTGCAGGACAATGCATGTCCACACATCTCTGCTCACACTGTTGACATCTGCAACTTCATTTTGAAGTGTTAAAGAATTCTCCATACAGTCCTGATCTGGCTCCATCGGACTTTCACTTATTTGGCCCCTTGAAGGCAGTCCTTTGAAGACAGAGGTTCACTTCTGATGAAGAATTGAAACAGTGGTACAGCTGTGGCTGAGAGCTTAGCCTAAAATATCATTTAATAAGGGATTATGAAAGCTTGTAGACACATGGACAAAGTGTATTGAAAAGCAAGGAGATTATGTCAAAAATGATGTTTTTGTCTTTTTAAAAAGTTGCTTAGAACAATTTGGGCAACAGCAGAGACAGCCAGCTAGAAAAAGCTCCATGAGGGAGGACTGAAAACGCACAGAAGCTGCGCTCACAACAACACAAGAGCTCTGGATCTACCATAAGATCCAGGATGTCAGTTTCCCTTACTTGCAAGTGAAAAAACCATGATATAAAGGAAAATACTTCAAGTTAGGAATCTCTGGAAACAGGACTACCTCTCTGGCCACCCTGCCAGGCAGAGATCAGAGGGTGGGGCTACAGCCAGACCAGCACAGGGAACCAGCACTAAAGGCGGTGCAGTGACATTTGCAAAAGGAGGTGTAGGTGATTCTACACATTTTTCCTCCTATTCCCTGTTGCACCTTCTTTGCCCCACCTGGATGCCTTCAGGTGGGTGGGTGTGCACCCCTCACCCCCCCAAAAAAAAAGTTCAGCACTGACCCCACACTTTTTCCAAGGTACAGAGAGAAAGAGCTTGGTGGCTACTTATGACATCAGCCTTGGAGTTGCAGCCCTAATATTTACTTGTGCATGACCCTTATTCAGGCCTATGTAGCAAGAAAAAAGCAGGCACATCAGACCTGACAGACAAACCATAGAATAATCTGTAAAACCCCAACATAAAAAGACGTAACTATCATGAGAATTATGCTGTGCACATGCAGATACCTAACTGACCTTCAGAGACAAAAATAGTGGACAATCTTTCTCCCATTAACTTCTCAATATCTATCTGCGTACCTCTACAGTGGCAACTAGAGGAGG